TAAATGGTTCAATAAATTCTTAAAAGATTATGATTTAATTCCTAAATATTTACGTAAATTAGGAGCAGTTTACGGTGTGGTAGTACATGGGGGCAAAGAATTTAGCGCATGCTATACCATTGCTGGAGAATGTCTACGTCATTCATCCGATAACCATACTTCTCCAGTACAGAATTAAATTATCGGAAAAAAGGACAGACTCCAGAGCAAGCAAGACCATTCCCTATGATGATGATAACTAATTACGCTTCTTTACTTTTATTGCAGAGCAAGCCCAGAGGGCGCCACTACGTGGCATAGCTTTCGCCTACCACATCTACAGTAAAATCTTCATCATTATTAGACGATTCAGATGAAGACGAGGATGAGGACTCAGATGCGGTATCATTTAAATTTTTCTTTTTTCTTTTAGCCTTGCATGATGTACAATTTCTTCGAGAAATATCAGGGTTTGCTATTAAGTCAATAATCTCTAGCCCAATCTCGGGTTTCACTATCTCCAGTAATTGGCGGAGAGAAATCGAAATTCTTCTATGTGATATCTGTTTAACAATTTTAGATACTAATTATTGCCGGAGGCAACTGTTTCACAGCTATTGTTAACCATTGGATTTTAACTGATTTATTATTAATACACAGAAAAAATATAATTAAATATATTATCATAATAAAACATCACAATGATAACTTTATCCTGCGAAATTAACAAAGTACCGGTTACAGCTATATTAGATTCCGGTGCTAATTGTAATATTGTAGCTGAGGAGGTAGTAAATGAATTAGGTTTAGAAATCGATGATATCTCTGATGTAGGAATATACACACCCATTAGCAAACTCGATGTAGTAGGAGTAATTCGTGAAATCCCTATTCAATCCCGTCTCAGGGCCCTAAATGGAAACAAGTAGAAGTTACTGATATTTTTGTTGTTAGTATTCCTGAACCTGTACTGATGCTGGGTCAGCCATGGTTCCAGAAAAATGCAATGAAAGTGGACTTCCAAAATAAACCTCTTAAATTGCTCAATGAAACTAGTTGCAAGATTAAATGCAATTGAGAATATCTGGAAAATGTGTAATATATATACCTAAAATTAATTATCCGAACTCAGTTATTTTTTTCGTTTATAATATATATCATTAACATGTTCGTAAATACCATTGTTGAAGGAAAAATCCCAAGTAAAAGCATTAATAGATATAACATCTAAATATAATATAATGATCTGTGATGTAATATAGACGTCATTCTGCGCATAATATTCAAGCAGTAAAAGCATTAATAGATATAACATCTAAATATAATATAATGATCTGTGATTATGATGTAATATAGACGTCATTCTGCGCATAATATAAATATTCAAGGCTTGATTATTAAGCAAATTAATCCTGCTATTCCTACTCTGTCGCACTATTTGTGCACAAGACAACAACCGTGGAAATCGAAAACCAAATAAGGTATTTTAATGTTCCCTAGTTTGAGGCTGTGAGAACTCTATATTTAAGTTCGTTCAGCTGGTTAGAAAACTTAAATGAACCATGGCAGAAGAAACTCATTGCCGATTTCGTGGTACCTTTCAGGTAAGGAGGAAAAAAAAGCTTAAACGAATAAAAAGAAGCTTAAACGAATTCAAAAATCATATTCTATATAGAACGAAGGGGGAATTGACACCTTGCGGTCCGACAGGAAAAACAGTATTCCTATACAAGTTTCAACCGATACTGATTATTACGTTTTACGACGCTTGGTGTCTCCTTTGGAGTTACGCACATCGGCCCTCAAAGAAGATGACAGTAGAGGAGCAAATCAAATATCTATACGAGAGTCAGGAACGCTTAGCACAGAGTATAGTGATAATACAGCAAGATCCAAAATTGCGTCCGACAACAGTGAACCTCACACACTCAAATCAAGTATCGAAACGGAAAGGCAAAGATGTGAAATTCATGATGGGTTCGTCGATTCGTTGCGATCCAACAGTGAGAATGGAGGTAGTAAAGACAAGAAAGGAGAAAATACAGATATTACGGTGGGCAAAAAACTGGAAGGATGTCCTAACACCGAGACAATTGAAAGAATACAAGCATCCTTTGGGAAACTGCTCAGAATCGGTTCCCTGGGAGGCGATGGTTGGAAAAAGATTGTCCCCGGGAAAACGTGTCGCCTTGTACACGCGGACTCTCGCTTTACCGGCAAAGGAAAACCAATTACCGAAAATCCTACAACCATGTCTCAAGTGCAATTATGTGAAGGAAAAAATGGAAGAACGCCGTGTTGCAACGATTCGCTCATCTTAGTTGATGCATTTAAAGATAATTCTCGTATTGCAACTTTGGTTGATTATGACGTTCTTGATGGTGATCCTAAAGAACTAATTTATCATATAAGATGTGTTGCTGATTTCGGCTTTGATCATATAATTATTATCGGGGAGACAGAGTATGGAATGATCTTTTTAGACTGTTATGGTCGTGTTTTTCAATGGGAAAATATGAGTCAAACGTTATGGCCACTTGGTGATTCTCCCGAAGAAGCATCGAAAAGCATAGTTAAAGGGGTAGATCAGTTGTGTTGGTTTGAATATAATGGAACTGTATATGAGCAGATTATGAAATGGGAAGATTATTAAATTTCTTTTCGATTTTTACACAGCCTAACAAGCGCGTTTAAGATAGATAATATAGCTTTGAATAATAACAAATCAATTTGCAATAACTGCATTCCTAACCAAAGTAATCTGAATATACTTACAAAGTGTCGAGAACTCTCCAAAAACAATGTTGTTTATTGGGTATGTTAGGTTTCGCTGGAAATAATAAAATTTCGTAAAGCCGATCACTTTCGACAAGAAAAAAAAAATCGCGATTGACATTTCCGGGTCAGAGATATGCGTAACGCGTGAAAATTTTCATTTCTTTATTAACCAAAAAAATAAATTACAAAGTCGGGTACAGACCCTTTCTATTACATCATTTTTTAGTGCGGTATCCCTCAACCCTAGCCCTTTTTGTAGCCGGCGATTTTCCAACACATGCCCTATCCTTTAACAAACCAACGATAACAATACCTTTTTCACGCCCTTACACAATGCTTCGTATTCCTCCGAATTTTTTTCCAAGGCCTTCTTGGTAAATTCGATAGTAAGGGCGGTATCGCTTGCCTGCGCAATTTCGCCAGGACTATATAGCAGGAAGTGCCAATCTCGACCTGTTGTAACGATACCATAGAGATAATCGAAATCATCATCAAATGCCTCATCCCGCTTACGTTTTTTCTAGTTGGTTTCGAACGAACTCTCCAGCTGTTTGATGTTCTGTGCAAACCCCATAGGAGTTTATCCTCCGTAATGCAAATAAGATCCTCAGAATCCTAAGAAAAAGGTGTTAGCGAAATCGGTCTTACATAGAAGATTTTAAATCTCCAATTTGATTACTCCAAAGATTCAAAGAGCCAACCTATTTCAAAAAATTAATGAAGAGTTTGGTGCCGCACCCACTTACGAACTGCTACTTTCACAAGTAGTTCGTCGTGGACGAATTTCCTTTGTACTAAAGGTCTCGTTTACCGGTTTTGCGAGGTTACGAAGGGGCTTGTGGTTTTGCTGTTGAGATCCGACTCTCGAAAGATGATAGCCAAGAGAAAGAACAAGATATAGATAGTGAGCCTGAAGGAAAGCAAAACGCGACGCAATGACAAACTTGAAAAAAATACAATAAATAGAGCTTTGCTACTCCACTCCTTCAAATTATCTTTTCATTCTTCAACTATTTTTTCTGGGAAAGTTGATTTCCTGGCAAACCTCGTAAGTTCAAGGCAAAAAACTCCCTCTTTAACCTTTTTTTCCTCCAAAATAATCTTTTTCAAATTCAAAATTCAAAAAGGTGTCGTAAATACGCTCGTTAATAAGCCCTTGCTTAAATTCAAGCCGAGCGTTGGAAGAATCTCTTCGAAATTTGAACTTCTCTTTTAAATGCAAAAGGAGCATAATTTTTTTCTTTTAAATAAACAGTAAAATCTAATTCACCCAATTTGCACCTTATTCATACCTTAATTGCATAGTCGACACGCCCGGAACTTTCTTCCCCGATGATTTCTTGTTGTGGACGCATGCTAAACTCTTTTTCTGTACTGTCCCCAACAATATGTAGTGCTGTGTGGAGTATTGCGACAACATACTCATTACGCATGGCTTTGGTGGATTTTTATTGGTAGACTGCGGAATGATACGAAATTTTTTCAGGTGGTTATATGTTGATTGATCGAACATCTATCTATTTTTCAGGCATGTGATTTTATTCAGAAATTTTGTCATAACAATCAGGAGAAATGGCACTTCGTACCCATCATGCATGGAGAAGTTCCACGACATACGATTTTATTCTGTGGTATAATATATGATATGTATTACGAAGTAATGGTATATGCCTGATCGAATATCTGTATACGCAATCAAATTTTCAAACGAAATTCTGCATAGCGGGACGAAATCTAACCCCCCTCTTCATTTATAGATTCCACTTGAGGTGGCTGACTATCTTCAACATCATGCATACTATGATCACTGTCATTCCGTGATGCGGATGTATTAAGCTTTGAGATCATATTTGCTAACTCAGATGAAGATGAGTTAGCATTACCTAAATTTCTACCCACATTATTTGTATTATTATTTAAATTTTTACTCGTATTATTTACATTACTTGCATTATCTCGATTGGTAGTTTCGTCTCTTCTGCCGGATTGGAGATGCAGACCGATCTCTTTGACCAGTGGGAGATTCACGGCGACTCCTATTTAGCATTGATGAAACTTCCTCAATAGATGGTGCTGGTGTTATATTTCCCATATTTCTACTTCGTCTACGGTTTGAGGTATTGATAGTACGGATTCTATCAAATTCATCTTCAGGCCTCTTCCAAAAATGCGTACGAAACTCATCAAAGTATTGCGCACCCGTTCGACTTCTTCGTGCTCTTCGATTCCCTGCCATATAATCGCACATCAACTAATTGACATAAATTATTAGTCATAATAACTAAGATGTAAGCAAAAAAAGATCTGGAAAAATTTCTTAGGGTGCCATACTTACATTGTAATCCCGAACAAGATTCATAATTTTTTTTTTTTTTTGTTTAACAAAATTTTTCGGGGTAATTTAATGTAGATCTTATTCATAATGCATAACGGTGCGTGCATAACAGTAGTGCATAACTTTCAACACGCGGGTAAGTGCTATTGATAATCACAATGATATATTACAACGCGAAACTTATAAAAACTTGACCTATTCGCAACGGCTCTTCAATATATGTTACTCGATATTATCCTCTCAAAAAGAACATGTTGTTTATACTTCTCTTACTATTCATTACCCCTTTTTCCCTTATTCGTATTTGGCACTTGCTGCGGACCACTTTGGCTCTCGTTTTAACATGCATGATACCGTAGTTGCGATCCTTAGAACTTGCAAGGAAAAAGCAGTTTACGCGTCTCCTAACAACGATACATCATCTTGATTTAGAAAACGTCCCGAGAAAGAAAAATGAACTGCCAGAACGGATTCAGCGAAGAGGTGAAGGCTCTTATCAGAGCATGGAGAGATATAATACTTAACAAGCACAAGGACGATAAATTCGACGACGGCGACGACTACTACGACTACTACAATGAGATTTTCTGCAACGATCCTTTGTTGATCATCGAATATAGTCAGCCGGGCCTTGTTGCCAGAAATATCACGGAACATGACGTTGCCCAGAGTATGCAAAGATCTTGCTTTAATGACTGTTTACCATTCATTTATTATAACTTTTACAGTATTGTTTTCTAACTTGCTAATTTTCCTTTTGAATCAGTCATCCTCAATACGACTGGGTATAGACCAATAATCGACATGTTTCCTAACAATCCACCCACATGCTTACAATCGAACTCAGTCTTTGCCTTTAATCGCATGCAATTTGTCGAAAATGCTATAACAAGACTATTCGATAATTACCACCCCTATAGGTTGGGACAACCTTATCCTACCATAGGACGAGTATACGTGGTAACCTTTCGTAGAGCCGGGTCATTCGAAGCAACCGAAATGTTTCGTGTGTTTGATTAATAAACCATTCACAATTCATTGAATTTAAATTAGCTGCTTACTTTATTAACGGAAATTTGTAGTGTTTTTCTAGTAAAAAACAACGAGCTTGTCCCTTTGTAGTCTTGAATAGTTTGTCGAGGATGGGCTAAGTCTTTTTCAAAACGCGTTTTACAATGAATTTGCTGAAACAAATACGGATGTTTCTTTCTTTCTCTCGTGAGATTTCTTAGCTTTAATACCTGGCAACTTGCCAGTTGCTACAAAAGGACATCTTGAATGGAGCAAAATCGCCGATTGTTATGCTCTTGATTCATCCCCCGCAGTAGGAAGTTATATTGAGGTCGGATATCAGAAGCGTTTATCTGCTAAATATTTCCCGAAATTTGTTGCAGTCTTATTGCCCGCACTGGAGCATCTCTCAGTATAGCTTCGACAGAAGACACTAGCTCAGCTAAAACTGACCGTGCAAATGTATCTAATGATATTAAGAAAGGTGCGGAAAAAATTGAAGTCGCTGATGCAGAATTAATAGCTAATGCCCCAGATATTAGGCCTGATAAGCGTATGATATTGGCAAGCTTATTGGCGAGGTAGACAAGGAGTATTCTGACAGCAATGCATAGAATACCATCTATTAAAACCCTTATCGTATCTTGAAAAGGAGAGTAAATACTCTAGTAAACTCTTTACACTGGAGATTTGCCTAAACCGAGAAATAGTTATGAAGACAACAATTGGTTACGTGTTGGTGAATAAGTCAATTTACAATATTAACATCACCCATTGTTTATGATTAGTGACCAAAAACTGTTTGAATAAACTCGTAAATTCAAGTGTTTATTTCTCTTCTAGTTAGCACACATTTGTCAGTTCCTATCATATCTGTACGATGTACTGTACGTTGATATGATAGTCCGCTCGGTGAGAAGATACTATATTAACAAAAAAAACCCCGATTTTGCTATTCAACGATTTAACCAATTTTCATAAACAAGACTTTATTTGAAAAATAAAAATAAAATTCATGTGATAGGAAATTAATAAAAATCTTAAGCTCACAACATCGCATCCTGTGTTGACTCCCGCCAAACTGGTTATTAGTGTTTTCAGGGATATATTTTCACATTTCCGTCATAAACCTTTTTGATTTTTTGGCATTAGCTTTCCTACATTTTCTTAAAAATTTTTGTATTAGTGTTAGGTTTATATTGTTACGGTCGGATGGTCTGGGCGATTAATCTTTCGCGTAGGTGTGTTCTGACCGGGAAATGTTACCAGCTTTAGCTTTGTGCTACCGCCCACCCCTATTACGGCAGTTGTTCAATTATACATGTGACCTATTTTTTATAATTGAAATGCGCGCTTCTTAACTTTCATACGAGCTTCAGTCACTCGTAATCCTACTATAGAATAACAACAACAATTATTTTACCGTGGAATCGAAGGGGAAATAATTCTATTTAATCAAGGCTTTCTTCGATTTGTGTTTCGACTAGTCGGTTCCGCCACTTGTCTCTTACTAAATTAATTAAACAATTTCGTTTCAATAAATAACTACTGGTTCTCGTTCAAAGAGCGCTAGATCAGCGGACAACTTATACAGCTTAAATGAGCCGTTTATTAGTGTTTCCGGTCGAATAATTAATATTTCAGCGATGAAAAAAAGTAAAATTTCGATTTCAAAGGGAATTGTTTATTTGATTATTATTCCGTGTATTATTCTAATAACTTGAACAATATTTTATAACAACATGAACAATATTGACAACATGAGAATTTGACGATAAGGTAAGGGCCGCTTATATATCTTTAGCATTGCCCAAATGCGAAGCGAAAGGAAACACCGGAACTTCAAAGTTAGCTAATGGCGTTTGTACCGTCAACGCTGCTACCATTATAAAATTGAATGGTTTTGCTTGATTGTAGAGGAAGATTTTATCATGTGACTTGCTTATCTGAATCATCAGTTCCGGCTTGCCGTAACAATAGTGTTTCTAATCATTCAGATATTAATTGGCAGAATAATGAGTTTATGGAGCAAAATTTCCGTGATATTGCGAATAGGGTAGGGCAGCAAGTAGTTTGCCATGATTACTCATCCTAGTTACTGTTCTGTTGAAAGAGTTTTTTTCTAATAACTATTTTTATCCATTATATCACAGAGGAGCAGGAAGGATATCTGCAAGAGAAGATAAAAAAGCCCTGCATACCATTGCAGATGTGTTCTCCGACTGATATTGATTCAATGTTGCCAATTGCATCGAGTCATTGATTCAATAGTGATTGTGTTTGTGCCTTAGTTCGACGTATGCATAACATAATACCAGTGCTGAGCAAAACTAATTTCTATCTCAATATAGATAATTGTCATGCTGCAGTTTGGGAGATTGTTGAGCAATTTACAAGAACACTGAAGGCCTGTCATCAATCGTGTCGATATATCCGTAAGAACCGGCAAATTTATAAAGGTCGGTCGTTACACAGTAGTCATGTGTCCGTAAATTTTTTGATGGTAAATATACCACGCTAACGCGCCCTAACACTCTAACAACTACCAATGAGAGATTTCCAGGACACCTTTCGTCTCCAGTGCAGGGGCTGTAAGTGCGCGTTCCATACGCTTCGGAATGGGTTTTTATGTGTTTTATGAACGTGCCTTTACTTGTGCCAAATGTGGGCAGTGGTTGGGGAAAGTGGACACGGGCATTGGCCCATGATCTGGTTGAGGGACTGTGAGTAGCTTATTATTGTGGATTGGCATTTTTAGTTATGAAATTCCATTCAGATCAACAAATTATAGTAATAGTTATTATGGTTACTAATATTATTATACTATTTTTTTATATTAAATGATTTTAGGCGGAAGATCTGGATAATTAATCCATTCTTTAAATTGATTAATGCATCTGGAAAAGCCCCAGGGCCCATCGTTTTTTTCCGACTTGTTCACTTTCTGATGTGTGTGTGTGTATGTATTTTTACGGCATCTTCCCAGCCTGGCAGAAGCCTTGTGTCCTCCGCGATGTATAACATACAACGCAGTCAGTGCTTCTCTTATACGATTTGAAAGAAAGTGGACAGCGTAGGCCTCAAAAAAGCATCATATGGCCACGATACTTTCTTGTATCAATCTTTCACACACGGTCATCTATAGAATCATCATTCTCTCTTGAGCACTTGCTGTCCATGCTGTCCATATGTAAATATCGGATTTAATAGATTTCCGATAACCATATTTGCTTCACTATAGTCTGATTCTAAGCGTTTACGTATTTGAGATATGAATATAGTAAAAGGAATGACCACATTTTGTGACTTGGTTCTGACAGTGATGGCCACATACCACATTACATATCCACTATGCAGACCCAAAGATATTATCTTAACACACCCCATAGAAGGACGCTTCAAAAACACTTTCGCTGCCGCGAAAAACTCTATCATCCAATGCACCGGATAACCGTTCATCTTGGACGGAAAACAATACTGCAATGTGATCGAATTGCAGTTTATAAATACCAAGTCGGAATTGGCATCCACACCGACCAACGAAGATAAGCACCATGATGGCTGGCGTAAGTTGATTCGTTTTGCCAAAGATAGTTATCATATGCTGAAGCACTTGGATCCAAACAATGAAGTTGTGATTAAAGTTCGTCAGAAGCTCATACAGATACCCGTCTTTTTGCTGCAAGTTGCAAGTAAGTGATGACAATCTCTTGCCAATTATTAATATTAATATGATGCTATACTTATTATTATCTCTTTGCTACAATATGATAATAGATACGACCATAAAATTTGCGGCACTTGATAGTTTTCTGGGGGTGGTTAAAGACTTCTCTTGAGCTTTGACATTCCTCTGAAGACATGTGGGATCTCTCACCTTTCCCCCGTCTCTCACCTCTCACCATTATTATTATGACTTTTAATTGATTTCGTAACCTCGTTCAACACGATCGGGATTTCGTGAAAAATGCATTAACAATTAGGATAAACAGAAATCTTTAATTTTGTTTTGAACTATAAATGTTTGTATAATTATATTGTTATTATTTGCCTATTTGTTACATCGAACTATTATATAGGGTTATCACCACCATTGTCCAGTTGATTATCAAAGTAAGGGAATAAATATACAAAGACACGACCATCACCACCTATTACTATGTTGTCAATTGATGCGTGCAAGCGTATGATTATATTAATGAAGTAGCGAAGAAGTTGAGTGAGTGAATTGTGGGATGAGCTAGAGGAACCCCGCAAGCAAGCAAAAAATAATCCAGATAAGACAGCGGAAAGTTTCGAGCAGATGAGCATAACAACCACGAGTCCTCGTAATAAACAAAAAGTTGACCATGGCCTGTAAATAAAAATTTATAAGCACAAATAGTCAGATTCCATGAACGAAGATGTAGCAGCAATAATTGTAAACGATGGTGACAATATGTCCTTCCAATCTCTATTTATTATATGCCATTTACCACAATAACACGCAATCACTAACAAACTACCAAACATACCAGTGGCAATACTCCATGTACGGCTCTTCTTTCCAACTATTTGACTCTGCGTCGGCGTACAATTTTCATCCCCTTCTATCTCATTCTCACTCACACCATAATTCTCTTATTCATCCACATGCTATTGCCGGGTCACCACCAAAATCCCGGGCCGTCTTCTTTCGCACTCGAACGTCTCTTCAAAGAATGTTTTGGCACTTAGACTAGGTAGGAAATCAGGCTCGGGAATTGGTGCTGTTGACGCTGTACACTGCACTGGAAATACGGTAGTGGAAACTGATCTGACAACGGAGCGAGAGAAGAGTTGTGGCGAACATAGTTGTGATAAGCGGGATTGTTGGGATGATGCGTATAAGAATATGGAGGTGGATTTGATCTATGCCATTCACATAATCTCTAATCTGTCCTTCTTTGGCTTCGTTTGTAGCCAGGATGCTCCAACTCTTTTCTTCTTTTGGTTGGCCATGATTGTTTCTTCTTCGATTACTCGAGTATACATCGGTATTATCTTTCATACTCGACAACGCTCCATGAGCGTTCGCTTACCAAAATGATGTTGATGTTGGTGTGGAGAGTAGTCTGTGATTGCGTTTGGAGGATGTGAAAAAGTCATTAGAGAATAGGAAGAGGATTTAACTTCTCAATATTGAATGGGGAGAGAACGCGTTGGTGTATCCTTTATTTGGCACAGCTACGTGGATACGCTAAAGCTGTTTTTGAATATGAGGATTGAATGATCTTATTATATACCTGTTGTCGCCGAGGGAGCCATTTTTACGTAATTATGTTGCAAGAATATATTGGATATCGATAATCGATTAATGTCAGCATAGATTCTTGCATTCACAATAAATAAAAAGGAAATAAATGAGGCACCTCATTCAAGTGAACCTAGAATTAAGCAACAAGTATGACGTAACATGTGTGCGGTAGTTATTGAGTGACGTAATTTGAAGATCGAAAATTTTTGTCGTTGAAAATCATAATAATAACATATGATTAGAAAACAATACAAGTGTACAGTCGATGGATGTAATTCGAGCTTCTTCTATAGTCACCATTTGAGAAGGCATAATAGAGAGATACATGAAGCACCTTTGAAGTTTATGGCACGTGGCTTCGATCAACTTCCATCAATGCCTCCTCGATGTACTAATACAATGAATTCCACCCTATAGTGTACGTTTGGCGATTGTTCGGAGAAGTTCTCAAAGAAGTATTTGTTATCTAGACACATTGCTGCTCACACAGGTGGATATTCGTTTCTGTGTGACCATCCTGAATGTGAACGAAGTTTCAAGACTGGACAAAAGTTACGATTGCACCAGCGTATTCATAATGGTTGGATGTTGATTTTTTGATGGCAATTCCGCTTATTCATTACTTCGAATGTATTTTTGATTAAGTATCTTTCTTACTCTTCAAACATCCGACACTATATTAATATAAGATCAATCTAGATATGGTTGTGGCCACGTCGGATGCGAGAAGAAGTTTCACACTCTCAATAAGCTACATGAACACATGAGGACTCATGACATCGTCTGTCCGAAATGCGGGAAGGTGTTTGCTAAGCGGGCGGGCTTGTATATGCATGCGAAGATTCACGATCCCAATAAACTAGTTTATTCCTGCGAATGGAAAGCCTGTGACAAGTACTTTAGTAGTGTGAGTCGCAATTTTATTTTAATGTTCATTCTTTTTGAATTGTGTGAAATAACTGTAAACATTATTTGACAACAGAAAAAGTCATTAGCCATACATATAACCACAGTCCATCAAGGTCATAAACCATTTGCATGCGACGTACCTGGGTGTAACAAGTTATTTGGGCATAAAGCCGTTCTTGTGAAGCACAAAAAAACTCACGAGGTAGAGTCATAAATAATCAAATTATTAAACTAGCACTTAACGATTTACGGGCAAACTGCTAACTAGCGACTGTCTCTCATTACACAAGCGTCCAAAGACGTTAATTCAAAAAGATACCAAAAGTAAAGAGAACGGAGAAATCTTGGAAATTGAACATCTCACTGGATATGGGTATGAGGCCTCTGGGAGGATTATTCGATGCCATAACTCTGCGTGCATGTTTCTATTCAAACGCCAATACGATCTTGAAAGACATGTAGCAAGTTGGCATCCCGAACTGTTAGATTATAGTGCTGACTGTCAATTAGAAAGTGAACTAAGATAGTAATAGAAGCTGTTGTAGAAATGTAAGATGTCTTGTAATTAGCCGCGTAAACGTTGGCTTTATTTTTAATTTGCAAAGAATGAACACATGGTATGTTTGATGCTAATATCAAGACTAACCCGCAATGTGGGAACGTATCACCGTGTCTTTAGAATTAATTAATTTGCTTCACATATGCTGTCATTACTAAGCTAAAACGCGCGTGGTCCATAATTTCATAATATCGATCTTCAATCTTGCTGAGAGTTGTACAGACTAACAACGCCTTTCTCCAGTGTATGCGAGCGAATAAAAATGGGCTATGCTAGTTGCCCTATAACATGATTAAATGGGAGATTTTGTAGTTGAGCATACAGGCTTTTGAGCATCTGTCAAAGTAATCTTGTTTTTTGGCGGCATAGTAAATATTAGTTTATTAATTGACAGTTTTATTAACAATGATAAATTTTAGTATAATTTCTCGGTTAGCAATTAGTATTAGAGCATATCTTGATACGAGATTTGCTCTTCTTAAATACTTATTCAACTAACACAATTAAACTGTCTTGTTGGAATGTGTCACATTTCAATTTATGGACTTTATGGCCTAATGCAAGTCTGAATGTTGCGTGATTGCATTTACAGAATTATTTTTCATATAGCTGGGAATACGAAATCTATTGCACGTGCAGAATATGGAGAGTGTACTCTAATACAAATATGGAGAGATTTTACGAGCGGAGGCTGCGCATAAACATGTGGTCTATTTTTTTGCGGAAATCAGACACGTAATATTCGGTGGCTTGAACAATGATATAAATTGACAAAGTCAAAAAATTTTTTTATTCTTTACGTCGAAACTTCTATAACCTTACAGTATAATACAAATGTCAAGTACAAAATACACGATTATTTCAAACGAAAGTCCGAGGAATGGAGCCTTACAGGATTTTAACTGAAAGCGAAGAAGAACCATTCCGGCTAAAAATAGACTTATACTTAAGAGGCCTTAATAATATTATTAACCATTAGGAAGGACATAGAAAAGAAAAAGCCCAGTTTCTCTTTGACAAGTATTATAGCAAGGAAAGTAAAAATTTTTTTTGTTAGAAGTACATATAGTTGAGTAATAGTAAGTGGCATGGCAAGGGACCAACTAGCTTCTTTGCCATCCCAATGTTGGGGGCACAGGAAACCAACTAGTATTAGCTTGCCTGATGCTTAAGTCAATTCGCCTTTCCAGCATTGGACTCACTGGGTGCAGGAAACCAATTAGCTTGCCTGATGTTCAGATGGGATCAGAAATTGGATGTAAATTAAGACGTGTTAGTCAGGAATATTGCTAAATATTCGAATTTTCTATTTCTAGGAACCTAAATCTGCTTGCAAGGAATTGGGAGAATGAGCAGGGGGGGTGAATTCATTTCCATCAGCAGACATTTCTTGGACATGGGTCTATATGTGGGACTGTAAACAGGACTATAACTGGTGGAACGTTCGTTGCCGGATCAAAAAGAGAGCAGGAAGGGGTGCAGGTGAGCATATTTTTGGCTAGAAGTGAGAATCAGTGGTGCTAACCATATTGTATTTAAATGATTACATTACAAGTGCTCCTACCGAATTTGGTAATGATGATACTGTGATTGATAAAGTGAAGATTTCAATAAATAGGATGAGAATAAGTGGTTAAAATCAGTGTACTGATCGCCATTAAGTGTTTATGCTACATACTTATCATTGCAAAGATAAAATTTGGACTTAACATATATGCATCGGATAATTAAAAATTTTCTTGGATGAAACTGATTATGTTATTGCAGAAATCTTTAAAGCAGAAAGTTCGATAATGTACTGCACCATATGATTAATACATTCTTCGACAAGCCCGTCCAGCCTCTACCATCAGAAAAAAATTGTATTTCTTGCACGTGTATTACAAAACATATATTAATAAAGCTGGTTTTATTTTAAAGTGTGTTCTGCATGCATTAACGATCTTCTTGAATAAATTTATAAATTTGTAATATTGGATCTGAAAATCCCGTGATTGAATTATTCTATTTTTTTCACCGCAGTTTTGGCCGAGTACTGCGCCGTTCCTTCTGCGCAATTTGACACCGTGTGTAGGGGATCCATAGAGCAATTGCTTTTTTGTCCTTTCCTCCTAATCTGGATAATATTGGTGGTGGAGTCGAATTCGTATTTCCAGTCTTCAGTCGAGAGATTATGTTTCCAAGGTAAGATGTATATGTCGAATAGAACCGCCTGATGGCATTATTTATCATGTCATTGAGCGCAATTTCTGTGACCATATCGGTATTCTTTGTAAGAGATTCTCTTTGGCCAGTATAGTATGTATGGCCTGAGATGTTCCATGAAGTCTCTGACGTAGAACCAGAAGCTAATCGTCTCTTCTTTGGTTTCTCTGATTGCGGTGTAGGTGTAACGTCCGCGCACGCGCGCAGGAATAATTTACGCCGATTAAAGGAAGGCACCTTTTCGACAATCAAATAGAACGACAATTTAAATTTAATGAACAATTGTTATTTAGACAATGCTTAAGATAGAATCGGATCTAATTTATTCCTTTACGCAACATCAATTACCGCAAAAGCGTTTACATTCTACCATAGTAATGGGGTTTCTTTGTCAACGCCGCTATTAGATCGAGGCGTGTACTATGAACGAAAGAGATAAACTAGTTACCTCATTTACCATGACTGCGTTCCACGGCCTGCTTCCGCTTCTTCCTCCGTAGTCGTCTCTTCGGTTTCCGCGTCTTTTTCCCATGTTATTCACGTAAAAAGTAACAATGTCTTTCTCAAGATTCCCGTCGTACATGAATAACATGATTAGATGTCAAGTGATTTACTATTACTATATCGATTTAAACACGTGATTTAATTATAAGCTTTTTTCGTTTTTATTCGGGCATATAAAAATTAAGAAAAACACCAATGCCCAAAGAAAAGAAGGAAAAGAAGGAAAGGAGGGTAAAAAAGACTGAAGGCGAAACGAAATCCAAGAGCGAGTCCGAAGATACGATCAATGTGTTATATAATTTGGAAGCAGTGGCAGAGATAGCGCAGCCTTTAGCATCGAAGGATCTTACCAAGAAATTGCTAAAGACTGTGAGGAAAGGTTTGCATGTTCGGCGTATATGTATATCATCTATATATCGATTAGACGTACACATGAATATTCATTTCATAATTTCGTTGGGTTTATAGCTGCAGCCAAGAAACACATAAAGCGTGGTATCAAAGAAGTCGTGAAAGGTTTACGCAAGGGCGATAAAGGGCAAGCCTGATCCACCGCTTTCGAATATCGTTTCCTATATTTAGCACCATCAACGCACGCTAATAACCATCCCCTTGCACATTAAATATGTTAGTCTTGTGATAGTGGCTGGTGACGTATCACCAATAGACGTAATTACACATCTACCTGTATTATGCGAGGAAGCAGGCGTTCCTTATGTTTATGTGCCGTCAAAGACAGAATTGGGACTTACAGCATCGACTAAACGGCCTACGAGTGTAGTTATGATTATTCCCGGTGGGAAGAAACATGATGAAGCCGCGTTCTCGGAATACAAGAAGTACTATGATGCATGTTATGCAGATGCAAAGAAGCTGGTTTGTGTATTCATTTAGGAAAGGACAGATTGTATTGGGTTTTTAATAATTGTTTCTTTGTTTCATTTATAGGGTGAGGAGTTAATGACATAAGCCGGGAAGACAGTAGTTTCTATCACGACAAGTTGTATTCATTCAACCGCTAAACACATTAGGGAACGTCCTACTAATTCCAACCACTCAACGAACAATAGAAACTTTTCAATAAAGAAAATCTCAACGTGCTGTATGTTCACGAGCATAAGCAGCAAGCATTCGGTTCCTATGTTCCAGTTTGTTCTCGATCTCAGTCTTAAAGGTCGCATACTTCACTTCATACTCATCAAGAAACTTTCCCCGTTCCCTCTCCCACACCGGGTCAGGTTCAACCTCCACATCAGTGTCCATTTCGTTTACTATCTTTTCAAATCGTGTTATCGGCTTTTGTAATGATATTGATTCGATAGTTGACTCGCGTTCCAATAATGACTTGTCTGATGCTTGAGATCCAATCGAGTCTTCACGGAGCATTGGGGAACGATGTCTTTTTATCGTGGTAGAAAGACGATTGTCTTAAATATGGGAAGACGTGAGAAATAAGTATTCGGATGGCATCAAGCAAAGATTTCGCGAGATCGGCAATTACCTAATTTCCTCTTCATTACGCGTTCTCTCTCCTCGGCCATACGAGTTTCTTGTAGATTTTTCTGTCGATTTCTCTCATTGAGCTGGGCCCACATATCTAAACGTGCGTCTGCACTTTGTGCTTGTTCAGCCGTTGTGCGGTCAATCTCTTCGATTCTTCGTTGTATTTTCCTGACATCATCTTCGTTTTTTTCCGCTTCTGCGACCGCTTTTCTGTGCAACAGATCGGCTTTCTCAGCGGCGAGGTTTTTGTATGATCCACGTAGAGCTTGTTTGGCTTTAACCATTTCAGCAACTTCTCGCTATATAAGCAGAATCATCGGAGGATTGAGAAGAGTAAAATGTAGGATAAATTTGTAAGATGAACCATCGATTGAGAACCTACTTCGTCTAACGAATAATTGTTGGCGGCTTGGATATCTGCCAGTTTCTTCTCAATATGGCCTTTCGTTGGTAAGACTTGTCCTGATTCTACTTTGATGACTTTCAACCATCGCTCCCATTCAGACTATTATGGAGAAACATGTCAAATCAGGTTAACCTTGATAGACTGCTATAGGATAGTGATAATAGTGTTTTTGACCGAAAACAAAATCTCTGCTTTGGATCTCAACTTACATAAGTCAACTTTGAATTGGACAACCCGCTTATCGGCCATGCCTTCTGTGCATTTCCGTGTCTCATGAGCAGTGCCTGATCTGTTAACGTATTTTCTACTTTATATGTCGAACTGAATGGAACGACTCCTATTACAAAATTATCGTCAGCCGTGTTATACTTCCCACAGACACTAAGTATTGAAATCGATGGCTTACCTATAACCTCGCACAATCGATATATTTGTTCACCACTATCATTGGTTCCCAAGTATACCCTCGCATAGCAGCCAATGGCCGTTTTGTTAAAATACGGAGCGAAAAGCCACTTTTCAATTTGCCGCCGAGTTAATACTATTTTCAATAGATCGTCATAATCGGCAGGCGTGTCGTCGTCTGTTTTCCTCTTCAAATTTTCCGCAACATTTTCGTTCATTAATAACAGATATGAAAGATTTTAATGATGAACTCTAACAATAAAACCTACAGAGTATCGAGGTTCATCTTGCTCCATTTCATCGTCTCCAAATTCGCCTTCATCGTGGTCCTCGGATAGCTTTTCATCACCACTGGAAGCCTCTAATTCATCAGGGTGAGATGACTTCCCGGCCTATATATAATGGCAAGATAGCATAAAAAGAACGGGAAATTAATATAAAAGATTTGCAAACTTGAACGGAGAATAGATCACTACTATACTCACTGCACGGTTCCTATTTCTTTCAGTGCGAGCTCTTCTTGCGTCGTCCAATACTTGTTTTGTCGACTTTTGTGACTTGGCCCTTGCAGACTCTGTACAAAAGCAAAAAGAAATTTAAGATGGTTAGAATAAATCATTAATCAAGTCGCGCATTTTGCCCATCCGTCAGAATACTCACTTCTGGTACCATCAGTATCTTTGACTTTTCTTTTTGCAACTTGTTTTTCTTCTTCGCGGAGACGACGCAAATCAGCACGTCTTTGTTTCTAATGTAATGTGTGATCAAGTTTTCCTATTGATCAGTTTATGACACTATGATGCACAAAGCAGCGGTGACTGAACCGTTTAGTTGAATCTATTCTCATCGCTCTACTTAAAAGGCTAAACAAATCGGTTCACTCTAAGGTTTAGTTGTCTCACCTGAACCGCTGCTATGAAGATAAACGCGTATATTTGGTACTCGTATTTTCAACAAACCTTCTCCATTCTGTCGGCCAAGATTTTTTCTCTCTCCACTTCCGGCATTGCCTCTAATTGTCTCCTATCTTCGTCGTCTCGATACCCATCCTCATCATACTCGTCAGAATCTTCCAACTCAGCGCCATCGCCAATGTCAGAATCAGGCTCCTCTCGATCGTTATGCACTTGCGACTGACTTTCTTCCTCGCTCGGCTCGTCGTTTTCGGCATTCTTGTTCTTCTTCACTTGATCTCCGGCAAGTGCAAGGATCTCATTTTCTAAGTCACTCATTGTAGATCAAACAGCTCGGGCGTTGTTTTGTCAGCGCGAGAAATAAAAGTGTGTAATGGAATAGCTACAATAATATAATAATAATGCTGCTGCCGTATTTAGCGTATGACGAAAAAATTTAACATATATTGGGAAATTTTATTTGTAAGGCAGAATGCACGAGTAACATTTCATAGTCATAAGCCTGATCTATTAAAAGGTAGAAAAAGGCTCGAACGCGTCGAGCGCAAGTTAACTTCCAAATGGCTGACCTTTAATCACATTTCCCCAAACAATTCTTTGTTGAAAATGACCATCTCAAGCTATGACCGAAACTCGTTTTGATATGTAGTCGCTTATTGTTCTTACACATTAATTGGGCGAATCAAAAGATTCACGCTCATTGACAAATTGTGCTTCAGTCCCAAACATACTAATACTTGATGCTACGGCGAAATCGGCAGAGGCATCTTTCGGTGTGATAATCCTGTTGTTTTCAAGCGTGGATGACTACCGATGTGAAATTAAACTTTAGCAATATGTCTCTCTGTCTGTAGTCAGGTACACGTTTAGTCTACCTTAATTCGAAAATTATGACAGTTATATTAATTAAGACTTCAATGTTTCCCATATATAAGATGGATAATATAATATTTAAAATATTGCGAATACGGACTAGAAAAATAATCAAACACTTTGAATTACAAAACTTTTTGAACATCGGAATCTCGCTGAATGTGAAACCGTCCAAAAGATAATACAAACGAATAGTTGTTTGTCAGAAAGGCATTCTCGTGTTTGTGGAATTCGTCTGCCTCCTCGCGCGATATATAGAAATACCTTGTCCTCGATAAAAATACGAATAATTAGTTTTTTTCCGCTATTTTTCTTCTACACCAGAAAATCCTCTACGGAAATGACTATTATTGTGAACAGTATTCTATGTATAGTATTAACGCACAAATACAAGGTGATGCGAAGTAAACCTATTTACCAGTTGTAAACGTATACAGAAAGTAAAGATACGAGTGAAAAAAAAAAAGTCACGACACAGTATAACGAACATCTGGATATACCGCAAGGTAACTCGATAAGCCGAAGATTGCTTACCAATATCTTCGTTTTGTTAGCTGATTTAACTTTTACTAGTGGTCGTAATCCCTACCTGAAAGTATTGCCATACTATGCTTGACTGTAAAGTCAATTTTCTTGATAACATTCTCGATGCATTGATTTCCAAAAAAGTACCATTTCAATTTCCCGGCTCCACACTCTGTAAGAAGTGACTTTGATGATAAATCTTTAGCGTTTGACAATCGATGAAAACCATCTCCTGGTATTTTTTTAATTGTTTCAAAGAGTGAAATGTTTTACGTCTTGTTCATTAACTAGCACGCCGGTCTCTATTCCCCCGGCCTAATGATAAGAGCTCGCTCTCAGAAATATTCGAAGCACAATACTTATTTCAATTCAAGAACAGCTTTTCAATATAAAAATATAAAGTCTTAAATAAAACTTAGTTTTTCTCGTAAGTATTTCTCTTACTCTCGAAAAAGAAAGTAC